TTTGCTTTCGATCGCCAGCTACTCTGGATGGATCTTGAGAGGACGTCGGATAGGGAAGTCGGGACTCCTGAAAAGTATTCCCATGAGCACCTTAGATTGTTCGAGTTTCAAGGTTACTACGGCCGGTCGAGAGACGTGGAGCTAGTCGGTTACGTTTTGGCGAATTGTGTCGTGCTCGAGAAAGTTGTTATATGTCCTAGCGATCATCGTATCCCAATGAATCGAAGGCCGATGGGCCGTAGAGAGTTGAACAGTGTTGGGTTTATTGGGGTCCCTTCCTATGTGGAATAAAACCCAACTTGTGTTACCTCTTAAATGCCATTTATTGACCACTTTTTGGCCACTATAAATAGTGGTAAGTGTATGAGGGGTGCCTGCTGTGAGTACTTACACAGCACCTGCTGTGATTTATTCCCCATCATTGGATCATGTTAAATTAACATTAAATAATATTAATTTAACATGATCCAATGATGGGGAATAAATCACAGCAGGTGTTGTGTAAGTATTCACAGCAGGCACACCGCACTCGTGGTAAGTCAGCAAAAATAGGGTGAGAGAGGTCAGTTTTTCCCCGTGCAAAAACAGAGTGTGGAGAACAAAATTCCAGCAAGGGTTCCTATGTACAACAGTTCGGTCTCTTCTCTGATTCGGTGGGCAAACGTTGTCCGATCGTTCTGAAATTTTTACTGGAGAAAGAAGACTCAATTAGCTATATTCTGACCGAAGGGATTTAATTTCTAACGGTTAGATTGCAAGTTATGGTTTTTTGAGTTTGGTGCTGTTTTGGTAGGCGAATTTCCTATTTGAAGTTGTATTGATGTTCTAGTGCCTTTGTAGCATTGTTGAGGGCTAGAAATCAATTTGGTACTTGTTGGATTGTGTATTCCTCTCACTATTTCGGTGATAGTGGATTTGTAGACCTTTGGATCTCGTGGTTTTTACTTCTTCACATCGAAGGGGGTTTTCCACGTAAAATCTTGGTGTTCTTGTGTTGATTTTGCTTACAGTTGTTTCGTGGTTGATGCTTTGGTTTAATTTGAAATTGGTATTTTATGCTCCTGCTATAGTCTTGCAAACTAGGGAGGTTTATTAATTGTTCGTTGTGCTAACAAAGGTTGGTCCTCCCAACATAGTGGTATTAGAGAGAGGTGGCTATAGTTTGTTAGACTTATAGGGGTAAATACTACCAAGATGGTTTCTTTGAATGGCATGAACTATCATTCGTGGAAGAGCAAAATTCAAGATTTGTTGTTTGTTAAAAGTTTGCATCTACCTGTGTTTGGTTCCGGTAAGCCAGATTCTAAAAGTGATGAAGAATGGGCATTTGAGCACAAGCAGGTTTGTGCCTTTATCAGAATGTGGGTGGATGATAATGTTAGGAATCTTGTTGCCAACGAAACAAATGCAAAAGATCTTTGGGCTACACTTGAGACAATGTACGCTTCTAAGACAGGTAACAAAAAATTGTATCTTCTGAAGCAATTGTAAAAAATGAAGTATGCTGAGGGCACACCTATCTCTAATCATGTTAATGAGTTTCAAGGTGTGTTAGATCAATTGTCTAATGTTGGTGTTACCTTTGAGAATGAGATACTTGGCTTGTGGTTGCTTAATACTTTGCCCGACTCGTGGGAGACATTCAAGGTCTCACATACGAATTCTGCTCCTGGTAATAAAATGTCTTTTGATTATGCAAAAAGTGGAATCCTTAATGAAGAGATTCGAAGAAGAACCCAAGGATCATCTTCTCAGACTGAGGTTTTGGTTACAGAGCAGAAAGAGAGACAACAGAATATAGGTCAGGGTAATAGAGGAAAGAGTAGAAGCAAGTCCAGAGGCAAGTATAAGGATGTTGAATGCAATTACTGTAAGAAAAAAGGCCACATGAAGAAAGATTGCTGGAAATTGAAGAACAAAAATAGGGAGAATAATAGCAAGTCAGAAAAGTTTGAAGAAAGCACTTCTGATCGTGTTGCCACTGCTACAAGTGCTGATCTTGTCATTGTTTATGATGATGGTGATATTAACTTGGTCTCTTCTGATTCTAGTTGGCTTGGTGACTCGGGTGCTGCAGTCTATGTCACTCCTAAAAGGGAATTTTTCAGCACTTACACTGTAGGTGATTTTGGTTATTTGAGAATGGGCAACAATGGCATGGCCAAGGTTATTGGCAAAGGAGATATTTGCTTGAAAATGACCAATGGCTCTACAGTGCTACTTAGAGATGTCAGACATGCTCCTGATGTTCGATTGAATTTGATTTCCATTGGTAGACTTGATGATGATGGTTACGGTAACAACTTTGTTGACGGAAAATGGAAAATCAGCAAGGGTTCTCTAATTTTGACCAAGGGTACAAAGTTGAAGGAAAATTTGTATGTTGTGCAAGCTTCAATTTTGGATGACTCGGTGAATATGGTGGAGAAACATGCTCACCAGAATTGTCGCATAGAAGATTGAGTCATATTAGTGCCAAGGAGCTTGATGTTTTGGTGAAGAAGAAGGTTCTCTCTGGAGCTAAGGGTTCTAGCTTTGAGAGATGCTCTCATTGTCTTGAAGGAAAGCAGAATCGAGTATCCTTCAAAACTAATCCTCCCCATAGACAACCAGATTTGTTGAATTTGGTTCATTCAGATGTCTGTGGTCCGTTGAAGGTGAAGACACTTGGGAGTGCATCTTATTTTGTGACTTTCATTGATGATCATTCCAGGAAGCTTTGGGTTTATGCCTTGAAGACTAAGGATCAGGTGTTTGAGAAATTCAAAGAATTTCAAGCTCTAGTTGAGAGGCAGACTGGAAGAAAGTTGAAGTGCATCCGAATAGACAATAGCGGTGAATACCGTGGGCCGTTTGAAGAGTATTGTAAGCAACAAGGAATCAGACACCAGAAAACGCCTCCCAAGACACCTCAGTTGAATGGGTTGGCTGAACGTATGAATAGAACTTTGATGGATCGTGTCAGATGCATGTTGATGGAGTCTAAGCTTCCACAGTCCTTTTGGGGTGAGGCTTTATATACTGCTGCTTATGTTATTAATTTGACTCTTATTCTTGTGTTGCAAAGTGATGTGCCAGAGAATGTCTGGACTGGAAAAAACACCTCTTATGATCACTTGAAGGTGTTTGGTTGTAAGGCATATGTTCATGTTCCTAGAGATGAGAGGTCCAAGTTAGATGCCAAGGCTAGACAGTGCATCTTTATTGGCTATGGCCAAGATGAGTTTGGTTACAAGTTGTATGATCCAGTTGAGAAGAAAGGCATACGTAGTCGTGATGTGGTGTTTTGTGAAAATCAAACCATTGAAGATATTGAGAAGGCAGAGAAGTCAGATTCCACCTCTCATGATGATGACCTCATTGATATTGATCCTGGTTCTACACCATATTTGCCTACTACAGTTAGTGGTGATCAAAATTTGCAACATGAAGATTTTGCTGATGGTCAGCAAGATGATGATTCCCATAATCCACAAGAAGTTGAGCTTAGAAGGTCTACTAGAAGAACAATCCCATGCGTCCTTTGGTGTCCTCGCATCTCTAATGTGCTCCAACATCTCTCCCTCGATCGTGGTCTTGATAGCGAACATGGCCTTGCCAGCTTTAACCTTCAATTTCTTCAAAGCTGCAGAGTCCTCCGGTGGTGTAACCTCACTACCACTCACAATCTCCCACAAATCTTGGCCTTGCAAATACGACTCCATGTACGTCGACCACGTGTTGTAATTATGACTGTTAAGCTTCTTGATACCTCCGACCACTTGAAGATCTGCCATCGTGGCTCCACTCGATCAACTCGCCACACACTCTGCAGTACTAAACTTCACACTAACTTTGCAGTACGAAACT